GGCCCGGGGCAGAGCCCTCTCGCTGCCTGCCCTCGGGCTTCACCGTGTCAGGGGAAGAAGTTGTGGGGGAAGTCGGAGGTGCTCGCCAGCCCGACTGGCACCAGAAGCAGAGTTTCAGTTTTCAGTGGATGTATTTTAAAAGAGCGTCGCTGTTTCTTTCCATAGGAGAAGCGGGGAGACATTCTGAAATCCTGCAACTGCACTGAAAGGTAAGGGAAAGTTCAGAATTCTCTTGGCAAGCTGCTTCTTGAGTGAGATGATTGCTTGGTTCCACTGAGTACCTGTCTCTGGGGAGCTCAGCGTTTTGCATGCCGTGGCTATGTAATTGTGAAGTGCTGATTGCGTTAGTATTTGGATAATTAAATTATTTTTTATGTTCCTCAACTTTGAGTACATAGTCCCCTTCAATCAGAAAGAAACTGATAAAAGTTAATTACTCAGTGATTTATAAAGGTTTAAACTAGTCCTCAATTGTAGATGATATAATCTCGGTTTTTATAGAAGAATGCAAACCGCGTTACATTAATTTCTGATGTTTTTGTAAGAATGAGAATAAGCACTGGTATACAGCATGATACTGACAGAATTATAGGACATACTATAGTGCTTTTTTATTTTAAATATCCTCTTGTAAAGCTGCTTCTGGGTTTCAGGGCTTTTTTTTTTTTTTATAGGGATATTGGGATTGCATGAGAAGAGTTCCAGGAAGAATGCCATTATCATGTTATTAACAGTGAAACTGTTCTAAATAGAGTGCCATCTGTTTAATCCAGACTGCCTCTGTCTGGTTTCAGCATTGAATGTTTTTCACTATGAGGTAAAGTCTGCAGGATTCAGAGCAGTCTCTTCTCTGCAGATGCAGTGTCAGGGTGAGAGGAGACACGTTTATTTTTCTGTAATGTGTGTGGGGTGGAATTTCAGGAGGACTCATTATTTGTGAGGTGCCTAAATCCCTGTCTTGTAGAGAATGAAGTTCTGTCAGGTACCTGTGAAGTATTGTTTCTTACTGTGGCTGACTGTTAATGTTATGTGTTCAAAGTCCAGCATTGCTGAGGAATGTTTCCTCGGAAAAAATTTTTCAGTGGCCCATAGACATGTTAGGTACCAGACACCTTAGTTTTATTTTTTGAAGGAAAAATGCAAAGTCCTGGTTTAATTTATGGGATTTTTTGTTTTGTTTTCTTCACGGTGCTTGGAAGCATGACTTGATTATCTATATGTGAAGCCATACTTCACTGGTATTGCTGAATCTGTTAACAAGAATGTTCAGTTCTGATCACAGGATATTGACTGTGTGACCTATTGCAGTCAAACGGAACTGTAGCAGAGGAGTGCACTCAGGAAGATTTGTCTTCAAATACATTATCACTTTTAAGGTTTAACAGGTTTTGGGTAGCTGTTTCCCCCCACCCAAGTACATAAAAACTCTCAATAAGAAAAACTGTGCGTAGCTGATAGATTTGCTCTAGCATGAAGTTGCTTAATGTTTTGTTCTCTAAATTTCCTTTTCCTTCAGTGTGGACCATACTCTTTCTTTTAAAAATAAGACTGCAAATAGAATGGATGTGATGCCTTAGGAATACATAAAGCTTTTTGAAGCTGTATCTTCACCAAATGAGTCTTCATAACTTCAAGGGGGCTTACAGTCTTGCTACAACCTGGTTTTGAGAAGGAAACTTCACTATAATTACAGTGTCAGTCTGAAGAAATGAATAGTATGCACAAGGAACTAACATAAATAAATTTTCTTCTTGTGTAAAAATTGCTGGATGTCCTTTAGGAAGGGAAGGTCATTGGGACTCCGCATACAAATAATCAGTACTTCTTGTGGTTTATTCAGTTGGGGTTTTTTTGTCCTACTCCTGGTAGTTATAATTACAGAAAAGGTTAAGTGTTCTAAGGTACAGTTACATTAGCATGTATCCAGACATGCTAGTTATGATTTGCTGAGATTCCTGCTTGTATTGCTAGGTTAGAGGAAGGTGGCAGGGTGTCATGGTTTAACCCCAACTGACAACTAAGCACCACATAGCCACTTGCTTGCACCCCCCTGGTGGGCTGGGGAAGGGTGAAAGTGAGAAAACTTACGGGTTGAGATAAAGACAGTTTAAGAGGTAAAGCAAAAGCTGCATGCTCAAGCAAAACAAAATAAGGAATTCACCAGTTCCCATTGGTAGGCAGTTTTCCTTTAGTCTGTGGACCACCCCTGTAAAATGCTCATAAAATGTCCACAGAATGTCCACTGAGTTAATTTATTTACGACTTTGAGCTTCATCTGATATGGTGGTCACTCAGGGCAGGAGCAGTGGTGTGTTGCATGGAGTTATTGGATGCCAAAGCCCAGGCTAGGTTGCTGCTGCACTTGCACTGCTTCTTGTAAGACTTGCCCTCCACTGGTTTGGGTGGTTCCTGCTACAGTAGTTCCTGTAACATGCAACTCAAATCCTGGGTTACAACAGTTTAGAGGTATTTCTATTACAATCTCCACCCCTGGTCCCTTAGGTTTAACATTGCAATGAACTCCTCCCCTTGCTCCTAGCAAGACTAGCAACAAGGGGTTCCTGCTATAGTAATGCACGTAACATGCAACTCCAATCCCAGGTTACAACAATTTAAAAGTATATCCATTACGATCTCCACCTCTTGTCCCTTTGGACCAGACCATAGGATTTAACATTGTAATGAGCCCCTCCCTTTGCCTGTGCTCTGGCTTGGACTTATCCACAGAATGTGGTCCCTTAGGGGGTGTACCTGCTACAGCATGGATTTACCCACAGACACAGATGCTTCGAGATGTATTTTCTCCAGTGTGGACTTATTCTTGGGCCACAGTCCCTGCAGAGATGTACCTGCTGTGGCACAGACATAGCCACAGCACAGATGCTTCGAGATACACCTGCTCTGGTGTGGACTCATCCACAGCCACAGATGCTTTGGGGTGTCCTGCTCCTGTGTGGACTCATCCACAGGTCACAGTCCCTTTGACTCAAGTTCACAGTTGAGTTCTAGCCTGTCCGGTACAGCAGCGCAAAACCAGCAGCGATGCCTTGGCCATCTGCCAGCTCAGGTGCATTGCCATTGCTATTATCAAAATGTTCCCAGGCACAGCAGAGTTAAGATGATCAGTAGTACAGCAAGCAGCAAAAGCAAAAAGCAGCCACTAACAAGCACTAGACTCTAATACGCAGTAAGGCAAGCAAGTCCCATGGCAAGTACAGGAGCCTGCCAATTAATAGCTAAACAGCAATAACAGCTATAAATTCAATCTAGCACATTCCAATCAAATCTGGCGTTATCTCAAAACCTTTGAGCCCCATATTGGGCTCCCAAAAAGGACTATTGTGGTTTAACCCCAGCTGACAACTATGTACCATACAGCTTCTTACTCCTCCCCACAGTGGGATGGGGAAGAGAATCAGAAGGGTAAAAGAGAGAAGACTCATGGGTTGAGATAAAGACAGTTTAAGAGGTAAAGCAAAAGCTGCACATGCAAACAAAGCAAAATAAGGCTTCACCACTTCCCATCAGCAGAGAGGCATTCAACCATCTCCAGGAAAGCAGGGCTCCATCATGTGTAATGGTTACTTGGGAAGACAAACACCATCACTCTGAATGTCCCCCCTTCTTTCTTCTTCCCCCAGCTATATATACTGTGCAGGAAGCCATAACGTCTGGGCTAGCCCTTGGGTCAGTTGTGGTCAGCTGTCCCAGCTGTGTCCCCTCACAACTCCTTGTGCACCCCCAGCCTGCTTGCTGGTGGGGTGGGGTGAGAGGGAGAAGAGGCCTTGACTCTCTGTAAGCACTGCTCAGAAGTAACTAAAACATCCCTGTGTTATCAACACTGTTATCAGCACAAATCCAAAACACAGCCCCATACTAGTTACTGTGAAGAAAATTAGCCTAGCTAAAACCAGCACACAAGCTTTTCTTGAATAGCTTTCAAAAGCCCATATTTCCAGAAATCTGTGTTGATACACATTCCAGATTAAGATTGTGAGATTAATTATGGGTACTGCTCTGCATGTGCATATAATATTTTCTCTAGCATTGAACTGTGTCTAGTGGTATGGCCTTCATGACTGTTTTCTGGAGTGGAGCTGTGTGACTGACTGTGACTTGAAGAATTTTCAGTTTTGAGATGACAAAAAAGGTTTGTGTTGTGTCTTAATACATATCTGAACTAC